GAATTGTAGTAGACTATTACTCCACCACAAATGTCCGATCATTACAGCTGTTAGTAGCTCACACAATATTTCATCGTGAGAGATGGGAAGCAAAATGTATTTGGTTCAGTTGTCACTCAAATGAAGATAATGCACTCTTCCTAACTATTGCACACATTATAATGAAACTATCACCCGTGTTTGATTTTCTGCTCATTGTTCTATCAAGCTAATGAAAATGTGTACAAAATGAACACTTGGGTGGGGTGGGGGTAGACTGGGGTGGATGGATATTGAATTCAGGAAAAAAATAGAATTCAGAAAAAAATAGCTATCAAGTCAACATTGATTTTATATAGACTCTATTGATGGAAGATCTCCAAGTGCCTCAGTCATCAACTGCCCTGTTCAGATTTTGCAAACTAGGGCTATCGTTTCCTTGACAGAGTCTATCCACCTATAATGGGGTCGTCTTCTTTTCCTACTGCTTTCCACTTTAGAGAGCCTTAGGGAAAATTGGATACAAAGGGTCCATTATCAAAAAGAAATGTTTACAAACACTGTATATTATGGAAAGCTGTGTATAAAAACCTTCTTGAAATATCATGGAGGCTTTAAAAATATTCGTGCTGATACAAAAAGAAGCTGGGGCAAGTGTAAGGTTGAGAAACTGAACAGTTCCATCTTTGCTTTGTTTTTTTCCAGTGCTATACGTGAAAATGGTGGATGAAAATTCAAGTTGATAGCCCCATGACAGAAATGCAGCAGTCAGTGATTCTCCTATCAACTTTTGTGACTATTTATGGCCCCAAAAATCCATGCACTGGTACTTTGTTATTTGTATGTGTCAAACTGTAACTAACAGAATACGACAGAAAAATATTGACATAATACTCATACAAAGGGCACAATACTTGATTTTTATTTTGCTTTGTTTTATACTTAGGGTAAATACCTGATGTAGAGCTGGTGGCATCACCCATTTACTATTTAAAGAGCCATAACACTACCCTACTGCAAGCACTGCAAGCATAAACAAGCAAATAGAAAACAATCAGTCTCTTGCCATTTTAACACAAAGCAGTTTATGATTTTAAAGGCCCAAAAGGATTTTTAAAATAACGTGAATCCTCAGATTGCCATTCAGTTGCCTTACTTGGAGCTGCAGGGAGAGACAGGTAATAAATCCATCATCATTATTTTATATATAACAAGATTAGTACACAGCAAACAAGATCACTGTGCTGGCTTTTGTATTTGATCACACATTGGGCACTTTCCAATTATTATTATTATTATTATTGATGAAAATATAAACTCAAAACAAGAAACACACCTTTCCAGTTTTTTTTTAAAGTGAAACATCCCAATAAATGAGGCCAATGTATTTCAATTGGCTTTAAAAATATTCACACACACAGCAGTGGACTGTGACTACTATAGGATTGCAGCCTGAATACATTTCACCAGACAGCCAAAAAGATTTAAATGGAACTTATTTCTGACTAGCTTGGGATCATAGGATTCGGGGAAATTGATAAGTATAGCAGTTAGAGCACTGGACAGTGATTCTGGGCACCAGGGTTCAAATCCCCACCCAGTCATGGAAAAATTGGACAAGCCACACTCTCTCAGCCTCAGAGGAAAGCAAACGCAATTACCCTATGAACAAATCTGGTCAAGAAAGCCCACTATAAGGTTTGCCACAAGTTAGGAATGACTTAAAGGAAAACAGCAACAACAGCAGCAACAATAGTCATCGTGAGTCCCAGGATGGGGGAAAAGGCAATATATAGAGAGATAAAATCAGGATAATTTATAAGAGATATGTACCAAGTGTGCAAAACTATGGTGCTCACTTTTTAAAAATAGAACAATCAGATGGACTGTTGTATGTCATTTTCATGAATCAGCCATTCCTATATTTGATGTGTTTGTACTTAAATTGAATACATTCCACTTTGGCAACAAATTTTATACATCCCACCTAGGTGCACAGCTAACTCAAAGTGTCCCCCTAGAGCAGGTATGGGCAAGCTTTGGTCCTCCAGTCCAAAATACATCTCAAGCGCGGTTGGTGGGGATGAAGGGGAAGGCCTTTTGGGTGGTGGCCCCCCAGCTCTGGAACTCTCTCCCTAGGGAGACAAACAGGCATCCACTTTGTCCATTTTCCACAAGGACTTAAAAACTTGGATGTTCCTCTGTGCCTTTGATTAGGAAGTTCACCACTGTTGGCCCGACCTTATCTAAACTCCTGCTTAGATAAGGAGTTTGCCCTCTTTCTGGTAAGCTCGACAGTTTAGGGCTAAGGGTATTACACTTCTAGCCTGGCCCTTTTGAATTTTTTGCACTTTCCCTCAGCTTTTATTTAGGAACCTGTGCACTTACTTTGAGCCCAAACCCAGCCTCGATTTTCTCTCTGCCATGATACTGTTTTTATGATGTTGCTTTGAGTTTGAGATATGTTTTTATTTGATTGCTGCTGTTGATTTTATTTTAATGTGTTTGTTTAATTTGTAATCTTTGGGCTTGTCCCTTTGTTAAGCCGCTCCAAGTTCCCTTGGGGAGATGGTGGCAGGGTATAAGAATAAAGTTATTATTATTATTATATGGAGGCCAAAGTTTGCGCAAGCCGGCTCTAGACAACAAGATCACATGCTGGCTGCCTCTTGGCAACCCCCATGTTTATGTTTGTGTGCATCCGCTTTATTTATATTTGAAAAGTTTCTTCCTACTTTTCCTAATAGCAAAGGCTTTTTACTTTGGGAGGCCCTTTATTTCTGGAACCTGGTTCAGCTCCCTCCTCCCTTATTTACTATATTTATTCACCATCTTTCTCACTCCTGGTACTTGGTTCTGTTCCCTCCTCCCTTATTTACTGTATTTACTATGGATATATACCACCTTTCTCACCCCTGGAACCTGGTTCAGCTCCTTCCTTATTTACTGTATTTACTGTATATATATGCTGCCTTTCTCACCCCTAGAACTTGGGTTCAGCTCCCTCCTCCCTTATTTGCTGTATTTACTCTGTTTATATACCACCTTTCTCACCCCTGGAACCTGGTTCAGCTCCCTCCTCTCTTATTTACTGTATTTACTGTACTGATATACTGCCTTTCTCACCCCTGGTACTTGCTTCTGGTATGAGAGAATTGGCCGTCTGCAAGGATGTTGCCTGGGGGACGCCCGTATATTTTTGATGTTTTACCATCCTTGTGGGAGGCTTCTCTCATGTCCCCACATGAGGAGCTGGAGCTTACAGAGGGAGCTCATCTGCACTCTCCTCAGATTCGAACCTGCGACCTGTCGGTCTTCAGTTCTGCCGGCACAGGGGATTAACCCAATGTGCCACCGGGGGCATACCAGAAGCAATTTGCAGTTTCTCAAGTTGTTCCTGACACGACAAAAAAAAACAAACAACCCCCCCCCCCAAAAAAAAACACCTGGTACTTGGTTCAGCTCCCTCCTCCCATATTTACTGTATTTACTATGTTTATATGGAAAATAGAATCATAGAGTTGGAAGAGACTCCTGGGACTTTCAGTCCAACCCTCCTGCCAAGAAGCAGGAAAATCACATTCAAAGCACCCCCCGGCAGATGGCCATCCAGCCTCTGCTTAAAAGCCTCCAAAGAAGGAGCCTCCGCCACACTCCGGGGCACAGAGTTCACCCCTCCTCCCTTATTTATCATATTTACTGTATTAATATACCACCTGTCTCAGCTCCCTCCTTCCTTGGAAACTTATAAACAGAGGCAGGATGGCCATCTGTCAGGGATATTTCGATTGTGCTTTTCCTGCATGGCAAGGGGTTGGACTAGATGGCCCATGTGGTCTCTTCCAACTCTATTTATTCTATGACTAGCATTGCTGTGGCCAACCTGCCCTCCCTCTCTCCCCCTTTCTTTCTCTCCTTCCTTCCTTCCCTTTTTTTCTTTCATTCTCTCCGTCCTTCTCTTCCACTTCCCTCCCTCCTTTCTTTCCCTTCCTCTTTCTCCCCTTTCTTCCTTCTCTACCTATTCATGGACTGCAACTCCAGCAGTCCTCCTGATCAATCTAACTCTACCTAATCTATCTAATCTATCTGGAGGATTGCTGGGAGTTGCAGTCCAGGAAAAGGAAACAGGAAATATGCAGGGATTGGGATGCTCTCAAAGAAATCCAAGGAAAAGAAAGCTTGCATATTGGAAGCAGTGCATTTGGATCATCCTCCTCTCCTGAAGGGATTAGGGGATGTTGGGAGCTGTGGATATGCTATTGTGTGTTTTGTTTGCCAGAGGGAGTCATTTTACACATGTGCTTTTTTTTTTGCTTGTGAAGTCCCTTCCGTTGTGTTTTTCAGTGTTTTTATGAGTGATGATCACTTGTTGGCCTGATAGGTGTATTGTGTCCAAATTTCATGTCAATTCGTCCAGTGGTTTTTGAGTTATGTTAATCCCACAAACGAACATTACATTTTTATTTATATAGACTTGCACTTTAGGATCCAGGGCAAATCGGGAATGGAGACTTTCTGTGCCCCCTCCCCATTTAAACTTATTTTCCTTCATGCTTGGCAATTGGGAGGGGGCATATTTTGAGCTAATGCTGCTTCTCTGGCTCCTAGCCTATTACTCCTTTCCTCGGTCAAAACCTTGGCATTGGCCTCTTTTCTGGCCCATTCATATTTCGGTCACGTGGGCCCTTCTGGCCAATGGACTGGCTTCTCATCTCCCCCCCCCCTTCCCCTCCCCAGCAGCGCCGGCCAGAGGCAAGGCAGGGCTGGAGTTTGGCCAGCATTCAAAGAGGGGAGAAGCCATGGGGAGGCAGCTGTGGGGCCCGCTTCACTCGCCAAGGGGAACCAGCGCACTCTGGCCCCCTTTTAGCGGCGGTGGCTCAATGCCGTGAAGCCCTGGGAGTTGTAGTTGGGTGGCTCTTTGCCCCAAGGCAACTCCCGGGGCCCGCCAGCCTTGAGGCATTGACAGCGGCGCGGGGCTGCCTTCCCGTCCCAAGTAGTCCTCTGCCTGGCGCCTGACTCACCGCCGTCGGGCTTGACCACCTGAGGCAGGCGGTAGGTGCTGACCAGCAGGTCCAAAGGCACGGAGAGGGCGCTCCACTGGACCTCCTTCAGGCTGGAGAAGCCCGGGCAAGGGCCCCCATCCATCTTCGCAGGATCCCGAGGGAGGGAAGCAAGGAGAGAGGGAGTCCTTGTCAGTGCGGCAGACCCCCGCCTGGCTCAGCCGCTCCTCCTCCCTCCTCCTCCTCCTCCTCCTCTTCTTCCTCCTCCTCCTCCGCCACCTCCTTCCCCAGCCATGCTTAAAGGGAAGGGGAGCCCTGGAAGGCTGCTCCTGCTGCTGCTGCTGCCGCGTCGCCTCTTCCAGCCCCAAGGCTGCTCCCAGCTGACCCAGCCAACGCCATCCCAGCGCGGAGGGACTGGTCAACACGGTGCCATCGGCGCCTGCGCAGTCGCCGCCCCTCCTCTCCTCCCCGCCCCGCCTGGGTGCTCCCTCCTTCTTTTCAAGGGGAGGGGGAGGGAGGCAAAAAGGGGAGACGCTCCAAGCCTCCTCGCAAGAGCATCCCGCCAAAGCTGTCCCTCTCGCTCCCCCTGCAGGCCGCCCAGGCGCACTGCAGCCTCTATTCCAATCATTCTCACTATGAAAGAATAGGCATAGAGCAGGCACGGACAAACTTTGTAACTTGGGGGCCTCAGGCTAGCACTCCTTGCTAGTAGGACTGGTTGCCCAGTGATGGAAGGGGGGAAGGATAGAAGGATGGGAAGGAGGAAGGATGAAAGGAAGAGTAGCATGGAAGGAAATGAAAATGAACAAAATCTGGCTACCAGTATTTTTTTAAAAAAAACTCTAAAATCAGGACAGCAAATAAAGAGTAACACTCAAAAAGCAGAGGAATTCCAGACAAGACTCCACCAGGGCCAGCTAACACCAACAAAGGAGTCCCCCAGGCAGCAATCTGTCAGGCTTTGAAGCTGCAAGGCCATTAAATGCTAATCATGGTGGCCATTTGCAACACTGACAGTTGTCGCCAGTAGACAAGTGTCACGCTGAACATTCCACAGATATATAATAAACCTCACTTGACTAGTTTCCAACAGACCCCTCAACCTCTGAGGATGCCTGCCACAGATGTAGCCGAAACATCAGGAGAGAATGCTTTCAGGGCATGGCCATACTGCCCGGAAAACTCACAGCACTCCTGTAAAATAGCCTAGTCAAGGAAAACTTATGCTACAATAAATTTGTGTAGAGATGCCACAGCAGCCCAGAGGAGAAAATAATGCAGAATTTGCAAACAAATGGAGAATTTGCACTTGGGTATCTGGAAAAGAAGACAAAGGTATATTTGATGACTGCCACAAAGGGGATTTAGTGAAATAAGACATGGGGTAGTTGCTGGTTAGTTATGTAATCCACATTGAGGAGTGTCGGAGGTCATGGGGGTTGGGTTAGAGCAGGTATGCGCAAACTTCGGCCCTCCTGGTGTTCTGGACTACAACTACCACAACTCCTAAAAGCCTACCTGCTGTTAGGAATTGTGGGAGTTGAAGTCCAAAACCCCTGGAGGGTCGAAGTTTGCCCATGCCTGCTCTATACCTATTACTTCTTAAAGTGTAAGTGTGGTGAGGTCCTAACACATTTATTGTATCATGAAGTCTTGGGAATATATCCTGATTCCACAGTAACCATTACTCGAAATAGCATCTGTTGAATCAGGATATAGTCCTCAAAGGTTATAGTCCTCCAATAAATGTGGGTTACTTATTATTTATGATGGAGCTGTGAAGTAAATGTAAGAATGATTGACAGTGAAAATAATGCTGGCCAGTCACAAGAAATGTCTTGGCACAAGTCTGATGTGTTGATCATAATAAATTATCCAATCTTGGCACTAGGTAAGCTAATTCACACACAGGGTGCACCTATACTGTAGAGTTAATGCAGTTTGGCACCATTTGAAGTGTCATGGCCCAGTGCTATGGAACTCTGGAACTTGTACTTCAGTGAGAGCTGAGTACATTTTGGGAGGGAAGATCTTGTAAAACTACAGCTCCCATGATTCTGTACCATTCAGCCATTGAAGCACCGTGGAGATTGTGAGTACATCTACACTGTAGAATTAATACACTTTGATACTTCTTGAACTGCCACAGCTTTTTAGCCCTCTCTGCCAAAGATTGCTGGAGCCTCACCAAACTGGAAATTCCAGGTTTCCATAATATTGAGTCATCGCAGTTCAAGTGGTGGCAGTGTAAAATGCTTACCCCCCTTCTGTCTCGGAAGACACCTCTTAGGATGCATCTGCATTATAGAATGAATGTAGTTTGACATCACTTTTATTGCAGTCATTCAGTTCTATTGAGATGTAGTTGTACAAAACCTTTAGCCTCACCAAACTGCAAAGCCTAATAATTCACAGCATTGCACCATGGCAGTTCAAATGGTGTCGAACTGCATTCATTCTACAATGTAGATGCACCCTGAGTGTGAATTACCTTACCTAGGGCCAAGATGTTTATTGTGACTGGCCAGCATTGACAATATAACTGTAACTGGCAATACTTTTTAATATTTACTTCACAGCCACAGCATAAATCATGTGTTCTCCATATCTTTTTTTTTTCATCTCAAGAGCGACTTGCTTCTGGTGTCAGGGAATTGGCCATCTGTAAGGACATTGTCCAGGTGATGCCCTGATGTTTTTGTTGTTTTACCATCCTTGTGGGAGGCTTTTCTCATGTCCCCACATTGGGAACTGGAGCTGACAGAGGGAGCTCAACCTGCTCTTCCCGGATTCGAACCGATGACCTATCAGTCAGCAGTCCTGCCAGCACAAGGGTTTAACCCACTGTGTCAATGGGGTCGCCTCCATATCTACTGTACTTTGACAACTATATCCCGATCCAACAGATGCCTATTTGAATACCACTTAATTCATCTGATGAATGAGAATACAATCACCAAAGTTCATGATACAATGAATGTATTCATCTCTAAAACCCAGTAACAGGTTGCCACTACTGGCTCTTAAGAAGTGGCTTTATATTTAATCAGACCATCAGCCTAGGATCTTACTGGGTTTCAGGGGAAAGGATTTCTTATGGTCTGCCCAAAGATGCCAGGAATAAAACATAGTCTTCTGTGTGCAAAGCCAATGCACTGCTATTAAGCTATTGTCCCTCTCTTATATAATAGCCCAGAAATAGGACTGTATATTCAAACATGGGGAACTGCCTTCTGCTGGCTCAGATCATTGTTCCAGTTCATCTACTACCAAGGCCAGTTGAAAGTGGCTGGGACCCTGGAGCAGTCCCAAATATAGGAACACCTTATTTGCATGTGTTTGATCTGGCAGCATATTAATTAATTGAAGAGCATAATCAATGGCAGTGTTAACATTGTCATGCATTTTCTGTTTTGCAAATTCAGTGAGATTAACAGTATGATCCTATTATAGTCTTACTCAGTTACTCAAGTAATATATAAAATATGGGAGATGTCAGATGCATCTGGAAATTCAGGAAGTGTCTTGAGAAGATGAAGCAAATGACTCCTTTTTCCTTGGATGTTGTGTCCCCCAGATTATGAAGGTCCAAGAGCAATTGCTTCAGTTCCACCTTTGATAATCCAGCCCTACCTAATGCCCTATACATTTATTGGCAGCAGTTCCTTAGGGTTGGAAGGAAGTTTTCTAGTTTTATCCTGACAAATCAGGCATCAAATCTGGGAACTGCTGTATGTGATGGATGTGCTCTATTGTTCAACTACTTTCCTTCAATTAAACAAAATGGAAAAAGTCTGGCCTTGTGTCGAGAGTGAGATGATCTTGAGGCAAATGAGATCTTTCTAACAATAATGACTATAATATAAATTTTAGAGAATATGTGGTTTTATTTTTTATTGTGTCAGAAGTAAATCAAGGATACAGTGTAATGTATTTAAAAACACAAACAAAGATAAAAACCTGGCATTATACTAAATGTCCTTTGACCAGTAGCTAGCCACTTGGAGTGCCTCTGATGTTGCTATAAGTTGGTCCTCCATTGTGCATGTGGTAGGGCTCAGACTGCATTGTAATAGGTGGTCTGTGATTTGTTCTTCTCCGCACTCATATGCTGTGGATTCCACTTTATGGCCCCATTTCTTAAGGTTGGCTCTGCATCTTGTGGTGCCAGAGTGCAGCCTGTTCAACACTTTCCAAGTCGCTCAATCTTCGGTGCAGCCAGGAGGGAGTCTCTCATTCAGTATCAGCATGGATTGAGGTTCCAGGTTTTAGCCTGCTACTTTTGGACTCTTGCTTGCCGAGGTGTTTCTGCAAGTATCTCTGTAGATTTTAGAAAACTATTTCTTGACTTAAGGTGTTGGCATGCTGGGGGATGGGCCGGAGATGTCACTGCCTTGGTCCTTTCATTATCAGTTGCTACTTCCCGGCGGATGTCGGGACTTGCAGACTTGGAGCAGAATATGTGGTAAGGCACTTTTCCTATTTGGCTTACCTGATTAATTTTTAGGCTGTATTCTTTAATCAGGCTCATTTGGGAGAAAGAATGCATCTACAGTCTAAAATTAATGCAGTTTGATACCAGTTTAACTGCCATGAATCAATGCTATGGAATCGTGGGAGTGGCTTCTCTGGCAAAGAACACTGTGGTCTCACATTGTGCCGTGGCAATAAAAGTGGCGTCAAATTGTATTAATTCCGCAGTGTAGAAGCACCCTAAGTATTACTGAATTCATTGAGAATTTTTCACAAAATGCTATTTATAACTTTTTGTGCCATAAAACAGCAACTGTTTGAGACACCAAAACCTCTGCCTCTCTTTAAAAAAACATAGTAAGAAAATATTTGTATACATCCATGCATATACAGATCTTCCTCAAGTTTTTGAAATTTATCCAGATTTTATTTACATTCTCAGACCATCAAGTTGAACATTTTTCCTTGTCTGAGGAGTTATACCTTTTCCTTTCCAATTAAAATGACTCCATTAATTTTTAATGTAAACCTTTTCCCATTGATTAAAGAGTACACATATTTTTCAGTCATATACATTTTAGCTATCTGCATTTTTTAAATGTACACATAGCACAATTTATTTCTTCAAAATGCTTGCTAATGTCTCAATGTGGAAAGGCGTATTTTGTGTCACGATGATTCAGAGATTACACTAAAGAGATATTTTAGTAAAGAATCACAACTTCAGTTACTTTTCCCAATGTTCAATCTTATATTTCTTCCTGCTCGTGTTCATACTTCTTTCCTTAAAAAGAACCACATTGGTTTTCATAATAATTATCAGTGCCATTTTCTCTGTAAGGATAATGTTAAAGTGGACTTGGCTCTAATAGTGAAAAATGATGGAATATGAGTTATGGTAAGCACTGCTTGATTCAGATCAACTTTTCTACTGACATGTGTCTCTCTATGTCTGTAAATAGAATAAATGTTTCATAATATCTATTTATGTATCACCAAAGCCATTTTCTTGGTTTTGAAAAAAGCATTTTATGCCGATGACAACAATTTTCTTCATCATTCAGGGAAGTTGCATGATTATCCCTCAAGCAAAATGGAGCTGGAAGAAAGTGACTTGCGTCATCAATGCGCTTTAGCACCTGAGTTTAGCAAGTGACTCATGCAAGAGCCTGGAGCCTTTTTGCTACCTTGGTAAAAGTGAAAAAAAGCATGTTTCATGCTCATCGATTTATTTTTTCATGCTTTAACTTTTTGAAAAGATCAAGCAGGCTAGAGGGACTTAAATACATAGAAGTGCCCAAAGTATCTTGAAGACCATCCACATTGAAGAATTATAGCAATTTGATGCCACTTTACTTCCCCAGGCTCCATTCAATGGAACCCCAGAATTTGAAGTTCATTGTAGCAACAGAGCTCTCTGACAGAGAAGACTAAATATCTTGCAAAACTACAGATCTCAGAATTCTATCACTTTGAGCCATGGCAGTTGAAGTGGTGTCAAACTGGTATAATTCCGTAGTGTGGGTACAGCCAGTGTTCTGAAGTTTACATCTCTGACCTACAGAGCTATTTCCCCCCCTTCTGGGACTCTTTAAATTAGCTTGTTGACCAAATGTCTACTAGACTGGATTGGGTAATTGTGATTGGAGAGTTCACTTTTACTGAAGCAGACAGACTCATATTTTTTTTATTTCAGTGCTGACCAAGATAGAGAGTTAGAAAACTCGAGTTTCAACCATAACTTATAATAAGAATCTTAATTTAGAAAATCTCCATAGCAGCCTAGTACTTTTGTGAAACACCTAACATCTTAAAGGGCACTTTGGCTCTTTAAAAATGAGTTGTAACCAAAACTTGCAACAAGTTTAGTGCACTGTTCTAATTAAAATTCCACAATCGAAAATATGGTATCACAGTTTTGATGAAGCAGCTATCCTGCGGCAAATTCTATTTTGCTTCCAGTTCTGGGATTTTTGTTCAGCAAAATTTTACAATCTTCAAAAAGATCACACAGTAGAAGAGGATATTCTATGGACTGTTATTATACTGAAATGCCTTTCACTGAGTCTATTCATTTCCTTAGATGCTCAGGAAGATAGTGTTCATTGTTCCATTGATGGAAGAGGCCATCTGAATGAAAAGCTGAAGCTAAAATTGGAACAGCTTTCATTTTGAATGAATGAGCATCTGTAGCATATATACTTCTGTATAAGAAAAAATGTATGCAAAAAAAAACTGATTCAACTAATACACAGGTCAATGTGGCACCTCTGTGCACCATGGTGCTGCTTTGGGCCTTTTTGAATGCCTGGACAGAAAAATGGTAATTGTGGCAGCTCATTGGGACTATCATGCCTAGCAGGGAGAGCAGAAGGGCATTAACAGACATTGCAGAAGGATCTGAGAGAGGTGGTGAATGAAGAAAAGGTAATAGTGACCAGGGAGCTTTAGGAAGTTCTTTGCCCACCCATGGTTGTCTACAGCATGCCCCACTTGTCTTCTCAAAGAAGATGGAAAGAAGGAGAAGAAGAGTGAGGAACCTCTTAAATAAGCAGAGTATGGCCCCCATATCCATAGGCAACATATTCCAGAATTTTGCATGGATACATGAAACCATGGATAATAGCATTATTCATCGAAAGGATGAATAATGGCGGTATTTAGAACAGTGGTTCTCAACCTTCCTAATGCCACAACCCCTTAATACAGTTCCTAATGTTGTCATGACCCCCAACCATAAAATTATTTTTGTTGTTTACTTCATAACTCTAATTTTGCTACTGTTATGAATCGTAATGTAAAAATCTGATATGCAGGATGTAGTTTCATTCACTGGACCAAATTTGGCACAAATATCTGATACACCCAAATTGGGATTGGAGGGGGATTGATTTTGTCATTTGGGTGTTGTAGTTGCTGGGATTTATAGTTCACCTACAATCAAAGAGCATTCTGAACTCCACCAATGATGGAATGAAACCACTCTTGGCACACAGAACTCCCATGACCAACAGAAAATACTGGAAAGGTTTGGTGGACATTGACCTTGAGTATGGGAGTTGTAGTTCACCTATATCCAGAGAGCACTGTGGACACAAACAGTGATGGATCTGGACCAAACTTGGCACGAATACTCAATAAACCCAAATGTGAACACTGGTGAAGTTTGGGGAAAACAGACATTGACATTTGGGAGTTGTAGTTGTTGGGATTTATAGTTTTCCTAAAATCACAGCAGGAGGCAGGCTTTTGGAGGGAGGATTCATTGACTGTTTCCAAAAAGGAAGAGAAGGACAGGCGGAGAGATCTTTGGTCTTCTCTGCCAAAGGAGTTCCTAAGACCATGAGAAATATGTGTCTTCTAATGGCCTTTGGCGACCCATCTGAAACCCCCTTGTGACTCCACCAGGGGTCCTGACACCCAGGTTGACAAATGCTGATTGTGAAGAAGATAAAGCTACAGGAGGTCCTAAGTGTGAATAAGTGAAACCATGAATAAGTGAAACCATATATATTGGTTCTGTTGATACAGGAATTGTCCTGTAGTAATATTGCATTTCCCCCCACCTCAATTTCTGAGAACTTTATTTTCCACAGAAATGTTAACTTGTAAGTTAGCTATGTACTCATCAAAACTAGATGAGCTATCCTAAGTTGAATCACTTTAGATTGTACTTTAAAAGCTCCCTGCATGTGGGAATTTTAAAAAATCTAAATTCAAATTATTTTCATTTAAAGTAGGTCCAATGAATCTATGGGAATTTGGTAAATCAGCCTCAAGGGCCAAATAGTCCAATCCAATAAGGATGCAGGAAGCCACAGCTAAAGTACTAGTGAAAAAGAAACATTAAACCCCTAATTATTTTTCTTTTTAAAATTGCAAGAAAATAAAGTCCACTACTTCCCCACAACTATAACACAGCTCTTACCACAAGTTCTTATTATTTCAATGTATTTATTGGTTTAGGACCTATTCTCTGAAATAGCAGAAGCATGCTTGCTTCATTTTTTCCCATGACAACTCTTCAGATAGTCAAAGATGGCTACAGTATGTACTCTACTTGGGAAATGGAGTTATGCCTAGCACACCAAATGAAGGGGCTCTCCCTGTCCTAGATGTCTCCCTGTTCTGCTGATTCCTAAACAAGAAGGTATAAAAACAATATTGCTCGCTTGCATTTGGAAATAGTACACTCTAAGGAAGACTGCTCCGTGTATAGCTGACTCCTGCCATGAGACCAAAATAAGTTATATACAACCTTTAAAACGGCTTTTGATTAAATTATTAAAAGATTCCATTTCAAAAAATGTTCTCTGTAATAGCTGTTGAGACTTGAATGGGCAGTTTCCCATTCTTCTCTTCTATCCATATCTATCTACATTGTTCTTGGATTGTGAGCTATTTTGGCAAAGGCTACATTTGCTGTTTGTAATGTCATAAATTGCCCAGTATACTATTACATGAACTATTTTCAGATGCATGTAGCACCACTAAGTTCATATTTCCCTCACAAGAGCTTACGGTATAAATGGCCCACTGGAAGCTAACAGTTTCACAGAGACTGGATGTATTTCTTTTGCTTGCAACTGAATAGACTTTAGTCATAACCTGAAGGGCAAATCATAAGTTTATGTATTTTACACAAGGCAATTAGATAAAATGCCACTTGCTTAATAGATACGCTGACCTAAATCCTATTGCTGGTTCCAACTAGAGTATATCTAGTGAAATCAACAGGGACTTGTTAATACTTACATAGGCTCCAATGAGCCTAGTTATGACTAACAACTGGATTTAGGCCATAGGTAGGCAAAGTGTAGCTCTCCAGATGTTGTTGGATTGCAATACCTCAGAGCCCTAGGAAGCATAGCCAATGTCAAGTGAATGCTGTGAATTACAGCCAATAGTAGGGCTACTGGAGGACTACACTTTGCCCATCCCTTATATACCTCTTTCTCCCCCCCCCCCTCTCTTTATAGTTCAGACTTGTTAAGGGCAAAACAAATAACACAAATACAGTTGCCAGTCAAAGTCTGCAGCAAGCTTTCTTCCTTGCTTTTTCATGTAGGTCCACCACGTCTAAGTCAAGTAGTACACAGGAATTCTGAAAAGAAAACAAAGTATAGTATCAAATCCTCTTAACTAAGAAGCAGAGTAGGCATCTCCCCAAATGTTACAACAGTAATTCCAAGAATTCTCACTCATTGGCTTTACTGGCTAAGGCTAAGGAACTTGAAATACATCTGGAGGGACTCACAGTACCTACACCAACTGTAAAGGACTAGTTGTTCTGTTAGTGCCCCTCATCATGAAGGGCTGTGGAATAACTTGTGTTCCACATATACCTGCTGTTCATCACAATGATTCTGCCTGACAATACAGAAGTACAACAGTAAAACAACATCAGTATATTCATATAGCAGTCCAGGAACAATGGTTCCTCATTTAACAGAGTATGAAAGTCTAAGGTGCCGAAGAAAGTCTTGAATGAGTGTTTCCTTTCTAGATCTTTATGAAATGAAGAAGATTAGATTACAAAGAAACAGAAATGATTCTGTATGCAGTTCCAGTCTGAAGGTAAATTGACCTTCCTATTTGAATATTGTCAGGTGATTCTCCAAGCCAGTCAGGACAGACCAGGGCCCATATGGCTCTTGCAGCCAAGTCTATCAGTCCAAGCAACTCAGATTTGTGTGTGCCTGCTGTCCTGTTTTACCACCTTCTTGATTGATATCTTACATAATGTTCTGAAATTTGGATCAGGCTCTTTGAGCTCTGTTTGCCTGATCAGCTGTTATTTTCCTGATCATTTGTAAACGTAATTGGCTTCCTGCTCCTTACCTGCCAGCATCTGAACTTGTGTTTTGTCTTCAAACCAATATGAAAGTCCTGCTCAAAATGATTAAATAAAGCCTTGATCAAGCATGAATTAAGCTTGCCTCTTTCAGATTATGAACTATGGATTATGAACATAAGAAGGAATCTATTTCATGATTTTTAAAGGTTCAATCTGATTCATCATCCTGTTCCCCAATCTGTCCAACAAGATGTCTCTGGGAATCCTACAGACGGATATGAAGGCAATTTTCTACTGTTCTTCTTCTCTCATAGTGACTTACTTTCTCTAAAATATGAAGTATTTCATATAACAAGGCCTATCCTTTCTGGATCAGTCAATATCCTCTGGTAAATTAATTACTGCTATCAAACCTTGAGACACCAAGTTCAATAAGCAGTGGGCTTTGGGAAGTAAATTTTCAATATAATATAGTACAAATTGGCGTTTGTAGATTTTTCACCACTATTATTTTGGCATAAAAAGGAACACAGTAAAAATCCATTACACTATAGTTATGGAGTATAATTGAATGACAACACAAAGTAAATGCAAATCAGTTTCAGAACAATGTGAAAACACGTTAGATGAGTCAGACAGCTCACTGTCTCTCCCAAATGCTGGCACTAATTCAGCATTCTGGATCTTGTCAAAACACATATCAAGCAAGAAAATGAGCTTAATGTGTTTATTGACACAAATTGTTACTAAAGCCTAGCTAATGAAGAAGTGTTCCTGAAATAAAAGGCACATAAAAGCAGAGTTAAGTTATACCTAAATATTAGAAGTCACATATTGCAAATTGTAACAGTTTTATGCAACACTATGGATGGGGAATGTGTAACCCTCCTACAAACACTTTCCTGCTGTTTTCAATTTCCCAATGAACCCCTCAAAGCTGCCATTTTTCTCAACGGAAAAATCATCCATAAAAATAATGTTTGTATAGTGAGTTTCATAGGTTGGATGGGAAGTTAAAGCATAGCAATGACATTACGGCTATGCACTCGATACAGGATCTCAGCTATCACTTCTAAGTTAGAAGGACAATTTTTCAAACATCACAAATATAACTGAAGCAAAACAAAGATAAGCTTCTCCTTATTAACCATCCAGTGTGTGCACGCACGTGTGTGAAATAAGATAATCAGGAAGCAAAATATTTGAAGAAAATATTTCAAAATGTATATGATCTGTCTTTTTAATTAAACCGATTCTTTTATAAAATGACAGTATGGCCCCAGCTTCTGTGGCACTGGTATCCATGGTTTCATTTATCCAAATCTGACAAAAATTTCCCCCCATTGCAGCTCTATAGTATTCCTGAGCTAGAAGTCCTTCATTTCAACAATTTTGCTATTTTGCATGGTTTTGCATAGCCAGACAAAGTCCGGCAAAGTCCACACTGTATTGTCTACTACCATGGCTGTTAGTTTATATTATGCTACAAGGTTTTAAAATAAATAATTTATATTTTATGAATAATTATATTTATTAAGGTATTCTGGAGAGGTCCTTCTCTTGCTGCTGCCATCATCGCAGATGCAGTTGGCAGCAATGAGAAAGAGGGCTTTTAGGTGGATGTCCTTACCCTCTGGAACTTCTTCCCCAAGGAGATTAAAACAGCCCCTTCCCTGACATCTTTTGAAAAACAGCTGAAGACCTTCCTGTTCAAGCAAGCATTTAATGAAGAAATCTAATCTGAAATGACAAGAATGCTAACTTGTAGTGTGTTAGTTGTGCAAAGTGTGTGTTATTTTAATTGATGAGTCCCCACGATAATAGTAATTGTTAAATGATTTAGAATGTTTATTTATGTCATTCTTCTAGATGGTCTTATTGTTATACATGCTTATTGTTTGTACTGTTTTTAAAATGTTGTGAGCCACTTTGGGTCCCATTCAGGAAAGTGGGATATAAATAAAGAATTATTATTATTATTATTATTATTATTATTATTATTATTATTACTACTATTACTATTTGACAATTGTGATAAAGAGCAGCAAAGAAAGGCTTTAAATAGATATTATTCTACAATTATTTGTGGGCTAACAGATTCCTGAAGTTAATTCATATGTCTGAAATATGTTCTAAGAAAATAAAACAGACATCATACACATTGGAAAGCAAAATATAAACAAACTGACTAAATCATGCAATCTCTTTCTGTTTAATAACATTTGGCAGACCAAGAAATTACTACTCATCATTTTGGAGTGCAGACAATACATGTATGCAAGTTTATGCAAATGTGAATGTAAGTTCAATTTTGTCACTATTACAACTCCAGGGACAGACACATACCTTCTTTCATTTCCTGCCTGAGTCAAGACTACCATGAGTACAAATCAAAGTATTTAGATCTAATTAAACATAAGCATTTTTACAATATTATTAAATCTCAGAAGAACTATAAGATCCTACATTTAAGGGAAGAGCATCTATAGAATCAGGGCAGTTTAAAAGTCAGAACTCTCAGCAAGATGGAGGCAACGCCTATATGGGAATGCACCTGGTCAAGGTTATTGTTTCCCCCAACAAGCACTGGTCCACTTTCTGGAGGTTCTTCTTAATTCTGCCACTAAAAGGATTCTGAGGATTCACATCAAACTGAGCTGTTCTGAGTGGTAACCACTTTGCAAATAAAATCTCTTGCATGGGAGCTGACTTAGATGCTGTTATTAGAGCAGAAGTCAACAGCGAGTTGTCCAACAACTCTGTGAGTGGGATCAGTTTCAATTACTAAGTACTGTTGATGCGGACAAGCTGTGGGGACAAGTAAGGACTGTTGATGTGGACAAGCTGCGGGGACAATCTGCTTTCTTAATCTCTGTCCCTCTTGGTTGGTCATTCAGGAAGCAGATGCAATTTGATCTCAAATACAACAAATTATCAATGCATCTCTTAGGGAGGGGAATTTTCCACCTTGTCAAAAAGAAGCAGTAGTTAGACCACTGCTGCAAAAGCCTCCCCTGGACCTTAATAATTACAGACCAGTCTCTAACCTTTCCTTTTTGGGCAAGGTGATTGAGATGGCCATTGCCTTTCAACTCCAGAAAGTCTTGGGCCCCATCTACACTGCCATATAAAATTCAGATTATCTGTTTTCAACTGGATTATATGGTAGTGCAGACTCATACAATCCACTCCAAAGCAGATAATATGGATTATCCGATTAGATAATCTGGATTATATGGCAGTGTAGAAGGGGCTTTGCCCCATTTCAAACTGGCTTCAGAACAGGATATGGAGTTAAGACTGTTATGGTCATCTTAGTGGATGCACTCAGTCTTAACAATGACAGGGAGAGGGTGTCCTCGTTGGTGCTTTTAGATCTCTCAGCAGCATTCAATACCATTGACTGCTATCCTTCTGGAATGCCTGCGGGGTTTGGGAATTGGAGGTACTGTGTTGCAGTGGATCCAGTCATACCTGTCAGGCTGGTTCTAGGTGACAGTGCTTGGGGATAGCAGATCATCAAAAAAGGAGCTGTTATATGGCATCCCACAAGGTGCCATTCAATCCCCAGTGCTTTTCAACATTTACATGAAACTGCTGTGAGAGATCATCTAGAGGCATGGGCCGGGGTGTTATCAGTATGCTGATAACACCCAAATATATTTCTCCATGTCTCCCGCAAAAGCTCTAGCTAAAGATAGCATGTCTCCTCTGAATGAATGCCTTGAAACTGAATCTAGACAAAACAGAGGTGCATGCCATTAAAGGTTCTAACCTAGGGCTGGAGGTGTGTCAACCAGTCTGGATGGGATATACTCCTCCTGAAAGACTCTGTTCATAGCTTGGGAGTGCTCCTGGATCCATCTCTCCAAATGTCAGTTCAGGTAGATGCAATGGTCAGGAGTACTTACTACCAGCTTCGGCTGGTACACCAGCTGCACCTCTTCCTAGAATCCAAAGACCTTAAGACAGCAGTGCATGTGCTGGTAATCTCAAGCCTGGAGTTCTGCAATGCACTTTATATTGGGCTACCTCTGTACCAAGCTCAGAAACTCCAATTAGTTTTAAACACAGCAGTCAATTTTAAGTTGTGAATTTCAATCTCCCCTTTTCAATGAATTTTAACTCTGTGTAATTTGCTGTATGTCTTTTAATTGTGTTTTATCTCTTGTTTTAATGAGGGAGAGACAGGTAATACATTTATTTATTTATGTATTATTAACCAGAGCTTGAAAGTTATTTCTGAACAAGCATCACTGGATTTCCTCAGCCATCATGCCACTGTAAGTGCCTCGTGCCATCTTAGGCTGGTAGGCTTTCTTGGACAACGATGGATAGGACAATAATACCGACTCTGTTATTCATTATCTGATACATTCCAGCTTCAACTACTGTAACCTACTCTTAATGGAAGTTGTGTTTCTATTTAAAATTGGAATGTGTGCTACTGTCTCATCCTGCTTGTGCTGGTCCTGGCTTCTATATTGTTTGCAGACACAGATCAGATCGTTTAAACCATCTGTGGCTTAAGACAAGAATATCTAAAGGAAAACAAATTCCCATACATATCTTCTTGTGTCTTAGGATTTGTATACATGTATGTGCCTTCAAATCACCACTAGACTTATGGCAGGCCCATACATTTCATAGGGTTTTGTTAGGCTAGGAACATTCACAGGTGTATGATATTTCCTTCCTTTGAAATACAGGCTATAGCATCTGGTATTCATTTCCGGTTTAAGTGCAAATTTCATTTTCCGTTTAAGTACAAACCATTGCTGAGCCTGCTTAATTTCTAAGATAAGACAGGATCTTATGCCTGAGGGCAGTGGTTCTCAACCTGTGGGTCCCTAGATGTTTTGGCCTTCAGCTCCCAGAAATCCTAATAGCTGGTAAACTGGCTGGGATTTCTGGGAGTTGTAGGCCAAAACACCTGGGCACTCACAGGTTGAGAACCACTGCCTTAGGGTATTTAGGTCAAAAAGAAGTTTGCCTCACTTTATTTCAACATCAGGCAAATGCTTGTTTATTTTCAAAAGCTTCTGAATATTTGCTATTGTTTTACAGCACTTGGGTGTTATTGCCTGACTGGTTGTTGAGGTTAAGGTAATATGGGAGAAGGCACCTCCTTGGTCAATCTGGTGGCAAATGGCTTTATACATCAACATTACACAAACAAAAACCAGGACATTTTTCATTTAATGAACAATGATGTAATATGATTGTGGTAGGCAATACCACTCACAACCTGACCAACAGGTTCTGTATGAAGTTCTGCATCAGTGATGATTCCAGACACATCCCAGTCGAAGCCCGATACTGGGTGTGCTGCAAGAATCCTATTTTCAGATTACCAGGGCATAGATCACAATTCCAGACAACCTCTGCAAGGACAGTGCTAACACTGGGATTCAGAATTTCTGCCACTTTTTAGATAAGATTGGTAAACAAATTATTTATAGCATCTACAACTATAACCCCCATATTCTCTACTCAGCCATGCTAGCCAATGGCTTCTGGAAGCTTAAATCTCAAACATCTAAAAAATAGGGCATTACCGACCTGTGTCACTGAGATTTCTGGATCATCTTTCTCAATTCACATTATTCGATTCAATATAAAGAGAAATGTGGTCTTTTTCAAATGGGCTTACCTTGTTCAGTATTTCTTCAGCTAGTACCAAAAAGGCATCGTCAATGTTTATATTATCCTTTGCACTGGTCTCAAAAAAGGGTATCCCATACTCCCAAGCAAGCTGGAAATTAAAAAAAAGGGAAATATAAAACTACATATTCTGACACTACTTGTATTAATAATGAAGAGAATTTTGTCCCAACATTTTAAAGAAGTCTTACACATGCATTGTTATAGACCAGGGGTCCTCAAACTAAGGCCCAGGGGCCAGATGCAGCCCTCCAAGGTCATTTACCCGGCCCTCGCTCAGAGTCAACCTAAGTCTGTAATGACTTGAAAGCAAACAACAACCACAACCACAACAACAACAACAACAATCCTATCTCATCAGCCAAAAGCAGGCCCACACTTCCCATTGAAATACTAATAATAATATATTTATTGACATTGTTCTTCATTTTAATTATTGTATTGTTTTTAAGCGGTTTTTGCACTACAAATAAGATAGGTGCAGTGTGCACAGGAATTCATTCATGTTTTTTTTCAAATTATAATCCGGCCCTTCAACAGTTTGAGGGACTGTGACCTGGCCCTCTGTTTAAAAAGTTTGAGGACCCCTGTTATAGACAAATTCAGTGACATGTATGGACCAAAATACATCATTTAAGAGCTATGATGATTCCTAATCCTTCAAACATTTCTAAATTATAAATATCTTTGTATTCCCCTCTTACATTTATGGATGAAAACATCCTTGCACTTTATCCCATGCCTTCTCTCCGTTGTTGCAACTTGCACCTATCCCATTCCTATAGTTTACAGATTGGCCATCTTTACAGCAGCTTACCGCCATTAGTTGACCTCGGTTTTATTGAGTCTGAGCTGAGGTTTTTATATGAGCATGTGTATTATTTTATTGTATTTTATATTGTGCTTTATTTTATGTTTTGTTTTTGGCTACTTTGTGCCATCGGTAAACTGCCCTTCAGGGAGATGGTGGTGGGATACAAGAATAAATGTTTATATTATCCTTTGCACTTTATTATTACTTTAGTTATTATTATTATTATTATTATTATTATTATTATTATTATTATTATTATCTAACCAATAGATGAAATTATATCTGTAGATGATTGCCCAGGAGATACCTGGATGTTTTGATGTTTTACCATCCTTGTGGGAGGCTTCTCTCATATCCCCGCATAGGGAGCTGAAGTTGGCAGAGGGAGCTCATCCACGCTCTCCCCAGATTTGAACCTCTGATCTGTCAGTCTTCAGTCCTGCTGGCACGAGGGTTTAACCCATTGCGCCACTGGGGCAATGAATTTCTTTAACAGCTAATAAATGTTTTTTCCAATTACCTTGTTCATGTTTAGCCAACACTACATACAGATTGTCACTCCCAAAACTGTCTTAATAATAATAATAATAATAATAATAATAGGTTAAACACCTGTGCCAGCAGGATGGGCTCCCTCTATCAGCTCCAGTTCCTCATGTGGTGACATGAGAGAAGCCTCCCACAAGGATGATAAAACATCAAAACATCCGGGCGTCCCCTGGGCAACGTCCTTGCAGACGGCCAATTCTCTCACATCAGAAGCAGCTTGCAGTTTCTCAAGTCACTCCTGACACGACAAAAAACACCCCCCCCCCTAATTGCTGTAGTTAAATCCCATGGAATTTTGAGATTTGCAATTTAGGGATGGGTACTGCCATGAAAATGGAAGGAAAAAGGAAGAGGGGCCGACCAAGGGCAAGATGGATGGATGCTATCCTTGAGGTGACTGGATTGACCTTGAAGGAGCTGGGGGTGGTCACGGCTGACAGGGAGCTCTGATGTGTACTGGTCTATGAGGTCACAAAGAACATTATGGAACGGATAAACAACAACTGCCATAGGATGCAATCCTTACAGTTAAAATGGTGTCATAGTACTATAATTATATAGAATGAATGGATACATGAGGTGTAGTAAACGACCTGTTCCAGACTTTTTGAGGTCTGCAGGTCAGCATAGATACACAATCCAGGATTGGGTGGTCAAGCAATGTAGTCTGGAAAAACAAACCAAAAGCAGCTTCTCATGTTCCTCAGTAATATATTAAAACTAATAGTTTTAATCTATACTTTATCTCTACGAAAAAGAATTAAGATATATTTTTTTCGCATCAGGAGCAACTTGAGAAACTACACAGTACTTTTCCAATATTTTCACATGCTGGACAAAATAACAAAATAGTTATTATTGTTTGAATGGTGAGTTTCCAGCATCTGTTACAGTCACATATATAACTTGCATCAGCATAATGGGGTGTATGTTAGAATCCATTCCTTTTAACAGTTGATATCTCATCTGCCCACATACTATGGCAATTTTCAGAAAACCTCAGTCTTCCCATTCTTCTTTTCATTCAGAAATGGCAGACATTTAAAACTGAGTGCAAGCACCAGAGTTTCAATGGAGTCACAGCTTGTAATTAACACAGTGAATGATTATGTAATAGGTAAACTATCACCAAATTATGAACTACACAAAGCTTTGTAAACACTTGGGGGTGGTACTGAGTCTGAAATAAGATTTCTTAGGCATGCATTCAAATGAAAAGGAAAAGGAAGAAGGACAAAAGAAAACTGAAAAAGAACAAAAAAAAGTATGGCCTTTTGAACAGCAATTTTCAACATTCCCACTGAATTCAGCATGGTTCCCTAATACATGTTTCCTCCACATTAGTGTAAGGAGATGGCATAGAATTTATAGTTATTTTCAGCACCTGTAATTATTGGTTTTCTCTAGTTGATTACATGGAACAAATGAAAAGGACTGAATGCTTCAGGCCAATAGAAATAAGTCAAGGAGAAAGAAATTTGTAATGACTCACATTAGGCATATTTCTAGAATCCCAACCTAACAGAGACTTTTAGCTGCTAACTCCTGCTTTATAGTGGATGAGAGTGATTTATATCTGGAGGAATCAAGAGTCAGTGGAGGAAGCTGTTGAAGAGAAGAACTGGTATCTGAACAGTGAAGCACCACCTTTTAAAGCACGGCTTCAGAAAAATTTAAGAGAGAGAAACCCAAAGCACATCTACACTGGCCTCTTAATGTAGATTGAAGGCATCTCAAGAATGGAGCACCCTGAATGAAATATTATTAGATTTTAATATAAGCTAAAGACAGAATTATTAAAGGTAAAGGTTTTCCCTGACATTAAGTCCAGTCATATCCGACTCTGGGGGTGGTGCTCACCTCCATTTCTAAGCCAAAGAGCCAGTGTTGTCTGTAGACACCTCCAAGGTCATGTGGACAGCATGACTGCAAGGAGCGCTGTTACCTTCCTGCAGATGCGGTACCTAATGATCTACTCATGTTTGCATGATTTCGAACTACTAGGTTGGCAGAAGCTGGGGCTAACAGTGGGAGCTCACTCTGCTCCCCAAATTCGAACTACTGACCTTTTGGTCAGCAAGTTCAGCAGCTCAGCAGTTTAGACTGCTGTGCCACCAGGGGCCAGAGACAGAATTATATAGTGATAAAACACTCATTTGGCTCTTCTGCAGTTTTCCCTACTGCCATTTTATCAAAGTTATAATTGGTTTTGTTTTACTAAAATATTACATCAAAAACATTTTACATAGTCTGGGAATGGTCTGAAGAGCAGGAATAATAGTGGACAGGACCCTTTAAGTGGTGATCCCATGTATATGGAAACTTCAGGGCAGTTATACCCTGCAATGATGTTTTAAAACAGGCACTGAAGATTATTTTGATCCCAAGTGAGCTTGAGATGTTAACTGTTCTACATTTCACTGCTGTTGGTTTTCTGATATGTTTTAAAAACCAGACTGTTTTTCTGTTGTTCTAATATTTTCAGTGTTTTATAGATTGTGTTTTTAATGTTATTTTTATATGAGCTACCTTCAAATGACAAGTCCTTGAAATAAATAAAAACAATTACTGAACCCCAAAGAACAAACAGGTTGAAATAAAGATCGTCAAACCTAGAGCACCATGTAAAGATTAATAAAGGCATAATGAAGAACAAATATTAAAACAATACAAAGAGAAAACATATGAGGCATGTATGGTGAGAAGTCATTACATAAGGAAAGGAAATGAGTAACTACAATATTTTTAAATCTAGAAAATGTTGCCTTGGTGTTCTGGCAGAAAAATAACATTTTTGTCTAGTCTTTTATATTTCTACCACCCACACATCATATGTCAGAACATTTTGTAATTTTAATTATGCTACATCCAGGACAATTTTGAAAGAAACTCTTAAAGGAGGGATTTCTGGAGTATTTTATGACCCAACAAGATTTCAGAGGTCTTTCGGGGTACAAAAATGCTGCATTTCTCTGGATGTGTTTGTGGATACAGAATAAAGATCATTCTACAATACCTAAACACACACAGTCAGAAAACATTTGTTCCCATGTGGTAAATATGTTGAGTAGCAGTCTGCCCTCCCTTTTTTGTAGCAAAAAACCTCACAACCCTAAATACATTTACTGTGTCTCAAAAATACATCTGACAAAGAGAATAAAGAAAACAAAGTGCTTCTCCTCAAACTATTTCTTGCAGTCCAGATCCTAACAATATATAGGCTGAAAAGAAATGAAATTAGTAAAGAATGTCTAAGGCTAGTAAAAGTCCACACTCAACACTATGTTGTTGTTCATTCGTTCAGTCGTCTCCGACTCTTTGTGACCTCATGGACCAGCCCACGCCAGAGCTCCCTGTCGGCCGTCACCACCCCCAGCTCCTTCAAGGTCAGTCCAGTCACTTCAAGGATGCCATCCATCCATCTTGCCCTTGGTCGGCCCCTCTTCCTTTCCTTGTATTTTCCCCAGCATAATTGTCTTCTCTAAGCTTTCCTTTCTCCTCATGATGTGGCCAAAGTACTTCATCTTGGCCTCTAATCTTCCCTCCAATGAGCAGTCAGGCTTTATTTCCTGAAGTATGGACTGGTTGGATCTTCTCACGGTTCAAGGCACTCTCAGAACTTTCCCCCAGCACCACAGTTCAAAAGCATCAATCTTCCTTTCGCTCAGCCTTCCCTAAGGTCCAGCTCTCACATCCGTAGGTTACTACAGGGAATACCATGGCTTTGA